GCCAACGACGGAGAGGGCTCAGCAGAGGCTCCTGGCCCTTGTTGGCAGCCTCTCACACCTGCACAGGGCCCAGCCCCTGCACCAGCTGCTCCTCAGCTTGTTATAATCAAAATGATCGATTTTGCAAATTCCTCCCTGTAATGCAACCATTAAGTCAAGGACCTGGAGCTCTTTGCTGTGCTACCCCCAGACAACCTTCCTAAAGACCAGAGCACATAAACAGGTTCTGTTGGGCAGGTGCAGCTCAAGAAGCAAAAGGGAACAAAGCTGCCCCAGCTGCTCCCCGGCCGACAGACGGCCCAGCAGATTGCAGCAGCAGATCCCCTACCACAGCAGCCAAAAGCAAAAACTATTTTGTGCTGTGCCAAAACTCCCTCCTGTCCCTCCCAGGCTTTTCCTTCAATTTCTTCATGTTTCCTGATTGAGCACCCAACCACTTCCCAAAACACCCAGCGAGGAGACAGCAGGATCTCCCCAGGGGAGCAGAGCCATCTGGAGCTGCCTCACAGCCCTGCCTGTTGCCTGGCTGCTCCTCCTGGCAGCCTCAGGCTTCCTGAGATCCTTCCAGAGAGACCCTGGATCAGGGTTGTGAGTGCAGAGAGAAGACAGACAGAGCAGTACGTGAGAGAGGGAGCCTCTTGGCCCAGCAGGTCAGAGGAGCCCCGAGCACCATTGCAGGGGCACACAACCATCCTCCCTCCTGCATTCTCCCACCATCCACATGGTACCTCCTCATGATGTGCTCCAGAACCAAAGCAGCTTGTCCAAACTCTGAGAAGCAGTGCCTGACTCTGCCCCTTTGCGTGGGTATCACCAAAGCAGAAGGTCTCCTAGTGGCTTCCCAATGAGGTTTTCCATCTACACTGCCCTTTGCCAACAGCCAAATGACAGCACAGTAGTGGAGAGCAGTTCCAGCCCTTTGTCCCCTGGAGGAGGACAGCAGGAGCAGCACCATGCAGCTCCCCTGCTGCTGAAACACCTCAGCTGCCAGAGCTGGAAGGCAGATGGCAATCCCTGCCCAGCCACCCCCTGAGCAAGCAGCTGGCTCTTCCCCTGGAGCCAGCAGCATTTCCCAGCCAAAAGGTCTGCAGAGCTGCCTGCAGTGGCACAGCAACCTCAGGACTCGTCTGCTGTCAGTGAGACCAGCAGCTGTAATGTGGGTGACTCTACTCTGTCCAGCTCCTGGGGGTGCCCTCACCACTGACACCTCTGCCCACCACAGTACAGCCAGGAACACACCATTTCCCACACCCACCTTCAGCCATCTCCTAAGACCCTGACAAGCAGCTACTTTGCAGGGATGATGCAGGCAACAGGCAGTGCCTGTTCCACCCTCCAGACCAGGCACTCTCCCTCATCAGGGAGCCAACAGGTCCTCCAACCCCAAAGCCCACACCAGGAATCACAAACACGATGACCAAGCAGTAGGTGGGGCTCTGCCAGTGACGCAATGCACTTGGATGAACCTCGGAGGCTCATTTATTTTCTTGGTCACAGTGATGTATGTCTGTAACAGCAGGAGGCTTCCAAACACACAGCACAGAGGCAGGGACCATCACTCAGGTCTAGGCAGCCATCATCAACCCCCTCAACCAGCTTGAGAGGGGACATGTCTGCCTGAGCAGGGAGAGAAGAGCTGCTGAGGGGCTACAAGGCCTCTTTGGTGCCCTTAGCTTAAGGGCTCCCACTTGCCTTTCCTGTCAACAGAGGACAGGCAAACTGAGCAGCAAGAGGAAGGAGGTGAAACACACAGGCTGTTAACCAAGGGAAGGCATTATGTCGTGGCAGGGGATCATTTATATAGATTTAAGAGAGATAAATGAAGCCCTAGTCTGACCAGGGCAAGTGTAGGCACAGGATGCAGGCAGATGCAGAGCCCCACTGACACCTCTGACAGCTGGTACTGCCCAGGAGCCTGGTGTCTGCAGAGCTCAGAGCAAGGGGAGGCTTCACTTTAGGTCAAGGCACTTGAAGAGCAGCCCTAGAGTCAATGTAAACCAAGCACCCCGACACAGCTACTCCTGTCTGCAGTCTTTGGTAAGTGCTAGTGCCACCAGGACCCTGCCCCAGCATGAAACGTGCTGCAGGAGCAGGGCAGTGAGAGTGTCCCTTCCTCAGGGCAAGGCAGGCTGGAGACCCCAGAGACCCAGCACGGAGCCTCCTGCCTCCTCCAAACAAATGGCTCGGAGATGTTGCTTCTTGGAGACGAACTGGCTTCAGCACAGGCTGGGCTGCACTGCAGCAGCTCAGAGCAGGTTCACCCCGTGCTTCAGCAGCTTCTGCTTGGCCTTGCTGGGCAGGCTGAAGGCGCTGTCATGGGGGTTGGGGACGCCCGAGTTGCGGGGCGCGGCGCCCAGCTGCTGGAAGTAGGTTTCCTGGACGGGGCTCCGGCAGGGGGC